GGGAGGGGGGGAGGAGAGAGAGAGAGAGAGAGGGAGAGTCCGCCAGAGACGCGTGGCAGGCACCGGCACATGGTAGGTCCTGTTCCATCCTATTCCCTATCAATAGGATCATCTTATTATTATTACAGAGATGCCTTTTTCTATACACGCGCCCAAAGAGACAGGCCTTAAATGAATTATAACCCCTGAGCTAGTTAGTGACTCTTGGGATATTGCATCTCAAGGCTTTGAAAGCCGGATTGTGTGGACCCCCCCTGCTGGCAGAGAACCACACAATAACGGAGGAAATTAAAAGAGAACAATCACACTGAAGTTCCTTTCAAGAGAACAGATGAGAGATCCTGGCTGAATAGGAATGAATGAAACCTGGGTTTTGCAGTTAAGCCCGAGTAGCATGGTCGGCAGCGTTCTGGGATTCGGCACAGTTATTCCCTGCGCCAGACCTGCCCAGGTTGTTGGAGAACTGAGGACAGAGGAAAAGCACTGCCAGGAGGCCACAGTTTAGGGCCCTGCACAGTCCGTAAGTCAGGAGCCTCCTCAGGTAGCATAGAAGCCATCCTTAACCCTGCAGCCTGTTGGCGTCATCCGGGAGCTTTTGGTCAGTAGATGGATACTCAGGCTTCACTCCAGGTACCATGACTCAGAAACCCCTAGGGGGGCTCGGGCAGGTATCCTGAGATGCATCTACTGTGAGAACAGCTCATGGAAAGGCGGGACAGCCACCTTCCGTGAAGTCCCCAAGAACTGAGACGTGGCCTGCTGCTTCGTGTCTCGGCTCTGGCCAGTGTCTGAGCACATGTCTGCTTCATGTCCTCTGCTTATCACTTCTTTATCTAAACTCCTAGACGAATAAACCTTTCTGGGAGGATGGAAAGGTTCCACATCTGCCCTGTTTCACGGAGCAGCCACCAGCCACAGGAACGGCTGAGCCCCTGAAATGTGGCGGGTGTAACCGAAGAACTGAGTTTTTAATTTTATCTAATTTTAATTTAAATAGTCTTGTGGCCACTGATTTGGACAGTGCAGCCCTAGAACCTCTGAGCTGAAAGGGGCCTCAGAAATCACTGAATCCACGGGTCTCATTTTATAGAAGCAGCAGCTAGATTAAGGGCTTTGTAGCAGGAAAACGGTATCTAATGATCGGCCAGCAGATGTGTGACCTTAGGTGAGTTATGTTAAAGCTTTAGCCTCAGTCTCTTCCCCTGGAAAATGGGTCCAATAATACCTGCATCTCCACCTTGTGATGGGAAGCGAACAGGGGGCCTGCTCCTTCACCCGCAGTTTTCCTGCCCCCTCCCCACAGGGATCTCATCAGCAGCTGGAGCTGTGGTCAGCGAGCTGCATAAGCCCTGGGGGCGCCACTCCCATTGTGTTCTAGATGAACGAGGCTCCTGGAGTTGTGCGATATGGTGGCCTTGGCGAGCGTCAGCCCTTCTCAGGCCCTAACTCCTGGATATGGTCCCAGCACACGCGCCTTCATCACAGGGGACAAGGGTCAGTTGCTGGGATAAAGCATCGGCTTAGCCCAGGCCCAGCCACCCTGCATGGAGCATGTGAGGGAGCTGACCCTTGTCGACTCAGTATGCGTCCCCTCCAGGCTGGCCCTGCTGTGGTGCTGGTTAGAGGGGAAGGGAGCTAGGCCTGTGTCCGTCCCGGGGGCAAGGCCCAGGGAGTGACAGCACACGGAAGTCTGAAGGCAGGAGAGGAGGGGAACAGGGCAGAGACAAGGACGGACAGAGGAAGGGATGACACGTGGTGGGAAAGGGGGCAGGCAAGGACGGGGCCCGTCACTTCCTGTACGCCTGCTTGGGGTTGGGGTGTGTATCTGTGGCTCGCCTTCCTGGGGTGGTCAGGGTGGGGGCTGCGGGTTTCCTCGGTCTGTCCTGTCAGTCTGTTAATACGGATGGTTGGAGACTAGTGGGGACAGGACGCAAACGGCGGAAGTGTGCTGACTCCCTTGTCGCCAGGGCAGCTAGCACTTGGTGTAAGCCTTTCTGTAATAAACAGACTGCTAATCATGAATCAACGGGATTCTTATCATGAGGGCTGGGTAAGGTGTATGCTCTCCTTCCAGATAATGCTTTTAAAAGCTCTAATCACAGTGCTTGTCTTTAAACCAAAACAGGAGCTAAAAATGGCCACTTACGAGGGTGTGAATCCTGGTGTTTTGATGGGACCCCAATCAACATATTCTCCTGTCTCCACAGGCATCCTGGGAACCGGAAGGGAAGGCTTCAAGTCCTGGCCATGAACAAATCTCCACAAATCCACACATTCTGCCATCTGTTGGCCACACGCCTGTATCTGCAGGGTGCCCACCATACAGCCAATGCTGAGCTGGCCCAGGGCCTGAACGTACGTGACCACTGACAATTGAGGGCTATTAATATTGGCTGCTCAAAGGGGCAAACACTGCCAGAGACCCAGTTGGATGCTGGTTTCTCTTTCTTCCCAGATTTAGGCTGTTTTGTTTAGGGCGGTTCCAATGGGTCCCAGCGTGGATGGAGGACAATGCATTCACGCCTCCTGACTGATATGGTTGAGAAAAATATGCTGTTTACATATGGCAAATCGTAGCGTGGGGAGGACTCACAGGGAGACAAAGGAGGGGACCTCCATGATCAAGCATCCAAGTTAAGGACGTAGTAACAGGAACCGATCAATGATCTTGTCCCTCCGGTAAGGTGTCCAGGCCACATGATCCGGGGGTTAAAGGTTAGGCCGGGATGAGTGCTTACTAAGGGAGTGTATCAATGTCCTTCATGGGCTTTTTTCCAAACCATAACCTCAAGGTTCTCTCCCATCCCCTTCCACAAAGGTGGACTCACGCCCGGGGAAGTGGACATAGCTTGCAAAGCGTTGTCCATCAGAGATACAAGGATACTTTAGCATCAGAGAGGGACTTCCATTAGGCTTTATTCTATCCCCGAATCTAGAAATAAATCAGATTCTGCTATCTGTCTGAGGAAAACCAGTAAGAAATGAGTCAGCTCCGTCTACACGGGTGTTGGAGCCAAGGGAAGAGCTGTGTGGGAGGCAGGCGTTTGGCACGAAGACGGGTTTTTCTGATGCGAAAAGAAAACCCTGAGAGGTATTTGTTTTAGCAACCCAACGGGAATCCTGCGCGACGCTGATTTCTGCCTCTAAACGTCCCCCTCAGTGAAGGCAGCTCACGGCCAGGCCTGCGTCCCGGGTGGGCTAGAGCTGAGGGCTGAGTGTAAGGTCCCCTTGGGAAGCATCACTGCTTTTAGGCCAGTGCTTGGCTGCGGAGTGTGGATAGAGGCCTCTGTCGTCCCCTGTGGAAAGGGGACGCGGTGGCCATAACTGCTGCTGTGCCCAGTGTTGTGACTCGTGGTGCGAGAGCTCGCTGTCCCACGTCTCTAATGACACACACAGAGTGTCTCTGGTCCCTATAAGGTGGCAGGAATACCATGTCCACATTCAGCCATGGGGATGACAAGGAGACCTGGTGAGTCTCTGGTGGGAAAGCAGGCATTTCAGATCCAGACCTTCCCAGTGAAACAGGAGACAGCAGAGTGTAGGAAATGCTTGGAGCCAGCTAGTCCCGGTCCCACCACTTAGTTCCAGTGCCTCCGGCTAGCTGGCGAGGCCTCAGTTTACTCCTCCGTAAGATGAGGATAAATGCGGGGTGCTCTCAGGTGGATCTAATGAAACAATGTGTGTGAGCACCCTGTGCACGCGGAGTTTCTATAGAGGAAGGTGCCGGCCCCTCCCTTCGCTGAAAGCCAATTCCATTTCCAGACTGAACTTCTCCATGGAGGGCCCCCTGTGAGCTGTCTGGGATGCGCACCCCTCCTGCTTTGCTAACTGGGTGACAAAGTCTGGGTGTACAGAGGCAGAGCCTTCTTTTTAGTTGGTTCTCCTTGATGCCGGAGTGCATGACAACAGCAGCAAATTAAGCTGACAGCACGTTGACAAGGGAACCGCAGATAAGTCAATGAAGTTAAATGTCTGATAAAGCCACAGAGATACTCGTCACCCCCCATGCCTCTGGTGTCTGATGGGGACGTGGGGAGCAATTACGCAGGTAAGGCTACTGACAATCACTTCTGGAACTGCGTGCTGACCACGTGCTGCTCTGCTCCCCCTCCCACTGTTCAGGTAGGGGATGAATGACACTGACCTCCCCCCCACACACACACACACAGGAGGAGGTGGGTAAGCACTTGGCATTCCTCCCCTCCCC